CCCAAGCCAAGGATTCAGTTCCTAGCTGACATGAATAGTCTTTCCAGTGAAGGGTGGCTTGTGAGCATGGGGTCTCTACCCCTACTGGTCCCTGGAGTTTCTGGGATACTTACAGATCTTGGATTAGAGATGTACAAAGAGGCATCGCATACAATGCCATACTCCACCAATCGTTCTCCAGGGAACAGGGAGCTGGTGCTGACCGGTGAGATCAGGACCTCAGTGGTCTCAGGAAAGATCCACTCCACAGTCACATCACTCAGGACTGGGGCCATGGCCTTCTTCAAGGACTTGATCATCTGTTGGGCAGGGTCAGAACACAGTTTGGAGGGATGTGTGAGCGCATGAGTAGTGTGAAGACTAAGTGGGTGTGAACTTGTGGGGGAGAGAGCAGGGGGGAAGGGACAACATGCTTTGGGTGGCTTGCCCAGAAGCTTTGAGATTCTTAGATTCCTAGATTGTCAGAGTTGGAAAGGATCTTTGCTATCATCCTTTCTAAGCTTACCATTTCATAAATGAGAAAACCTGAGGCTCAAAGTAGGGCCATGACTAGCCTAAAGGTACAGAGAAAGTTTGTGTCAAAGCATGGACTGGATAAAGATCTCGAGAAAGTTAATTTGCTTCTCTGGGCCTCCGTTCCCCCTTTGGTTAAAGTGGGAGGACATAGTTGATGGAGGATCTGAGGTACTGGAGTTGAAGTATCTGCCCTGTATAGGTGTGTAATGAATGACAGCTGTGGGTTAGCATCACCCCCTAGACTGATTTCTTTGGGCCTCCTGTACTGCAAACCTGGACAAAATGATATGGGGACTGTGACAGTCATAGAGATGAGCTCTCACATCCCCTTGAGAAAGACCAGGTCCCCCCTTTTTTTGAGACAGTCTTCTCACTCTGTCACCCTGGGTAGAGTGCCATGGCATCATAGCTCACAGCAAACTCAAACTCCTGGGCTCAAGAGATGTTCTTGCCTCAACCTCCTGAGTAGTTGGGACTAAAGGCACCTGCCACATTGCCTGGCTACATTTTTCCTATTTTTAGTAGAGAAAATTGCTCAGGCTGGTCTTGAACTCCTGAGCTTAAGCAATCTACCTGTCTCAGTATCTCAGAATGCTAGGATTACAGGCATGGGCCAACACCCTCGGCCAAGACCATGCCTTTTTGCTGCAAGAAATGAAGTTAGGTGATAGCCTCTAAGATGCAATCCTCTGGCTTTGGAGCCAAGACCACACCTCTCCCTGGAAGCCCCCAAGCCAAGGATTCAGCATGAGGGGATAGTATCTAGTATCTACTACACTTACTACACTAGTAAGTGTACTATTGAGACCTTCTGTGGCCCATCGTTGCTCCAGAGCTCCCTGCTGGGTTGGCTGAGACCTTGCTGGAGAGAAGCATCACAAAATGAGACATTCCCTGCTCCATTCTGCTCCCCCCTTTCCTTTCACAGGCGTGGGATATGCCTTGTGGCCTAAAGAGTCATCCTCCCTGGTTCCTCCTCTTCCATCTTTCACAGACACAGTTCTCAAAAAGCCTCATCACTCTTAACCCCAGGCCTGTCTGCTTCCTGGACTGACAGAGGGATTTCCTAAGGGTTGGAGCATTTGTACCCAATGTGCAGAAAATGGAAGGACGATCACAGCCTCCTTTATTTCTGGATCCCTTAAATTCTTTGGAGCCACCATTTTTCATCATCAGGAAGGTGGCCCGAAATGACCTCAAATACAACCTCAAGTCCATACAGGCGATGGCTCCTTCAGGGGCCTCCGTCCTGCCTGGCCAGTGGGTGGAACATGAGACCCAGTGGCTGCAGGCCAGGGGATCTAGAGTCCTGGCATGGCTTCAAGAGTTGCCTGTTCTGTGGTTTCTGCTTGTCTGGTCTCCCTGGGGTGCAGTGTGGCCCAGAGGAAAGCTCAGATATGGGAAATCCTAGCTTTACTACCAAGTTGCCACAGGACAGACCTAGGAAGAGAGAGGGGGGCTCTGCCACCTACCTTGGGTTGCAGCCGCTCCCCCTCTACCAGGAACTCAGCGCTGCCCTTGGACACCGATGCCAGCCCTTTCACCAGTCTGTGGCAGACATTGGCTCCAATTCCAAAGCTATAGCACCTGGGGGAAGGTGAGGAGAGAGGCCGCTACTTCCCGCCCTCTCTGCATCTTTGCCCTCGGTGTGGGGAGGGACTGAGAGTGATTCGGCAGAACTAACCAGAGCTGGCCCTGACTTTAGGCAGAGGGTGAGGGAAAAGGAGGAAGGCACTCACATACACACACACACACACCACCCACAGCTCTCCCAGTGTGGAGTCAAAGCAGCCTCTCCCTGGGTTGTGCTTTGGGAGCTGCTTGGCCCTTCGGAACTTCTGAGGGGAAAAAGGCCAACTCTGAAATCAGCCCACACCTAGAAGCAAAGCTCAATGGGAATTGTGGGTCCTGTGCTCTCCCTCGGGCATGTTTCACATTTTTCTCTGGCTCTGGTGCCCCAGCCCCAGGGTGACCAAGCCTAGACCCCTGCCCGGGCTGACCTGGTGGAGAAGGCGTGGTTTCGCACCAGCTCCAGCACCTTCCCTGTGTTGCTGACGGCACCGTCTGTGATCAGGAAGACCAGCCGTGGGTGGCCTTGGTGCACCGGCTGCCGGATGATCCACTTGAAAGGGGAAAGGATGTTGGTGCCACCCATGTCGGCTCGCATCTTCTGGATGTTATCACAGGCCAGGGCCAAGTTCTCCTGCAAGGAAGGACAATGGCCAGGGGAGATAATCGCCAGTGTCACCATACGGCATGAAGACTCTCAGCTGCCAGAAGACGACCCCTTTATTTCTCTAGATCTTCATTCAGCCTCTGGAGTTGGCTCATCCTCCCAATTTCACCATTGGCCCACCCACAGGAAGAACAGGTGGCCACTTATTTGATATAATCTTGCCCCGCCACACCCCGTACTGATGCACAAATCACCACCATTTGTGGTATATTGACTTAAGACTGGTCTTTCTAGATTCCTCCAATTAAACATAAACACTGCGGGGGGAAAAGCAGCACATGAAGTCTATAATTCCTCAGCATAGACTAAGGTTTCCTTTTCTGGTGAGGGAGGCAGGTAGTGGGGTGGAGGGGACACGGGACTAGGAATCCAAAGCCTTGAGTCCTGCACCGAACTCTGGCACCAACTCCTTGTGATACTCAGGGGAAATCATTTAGACTGATCTAACCCGGGGTTCGCATTTCCTCCCTCCTGGACTAACTCTGTGGTGCCTAACTGGCAAGGATCATTGGCACTGGACGAATGTCATTGCAGCAAGAGTAGATTCCCACTGGATGCAGTGACCTTCTGCTCCTGGCTCAGAAAGATGCTCTTTCAGCATTCACGCTTGGAGAGCACTTACAAGTAACCTCATATATCAAAAGCCTTTTTAGATAAGTAGGTAGCTTTTGAACCAGCAAGACAGGAACTAATCCCGAGGGAATAATTAAGGCTGTATGCAAAATCTAGGGGACAAAGATGACTAAACAGAAAAAAATGGAAACAACTTAAATGCCTGACTGTTTTGTTGAGTCAGTCCCAATCTTTCTGTGTAGTGAAATGTACAAATTAAGCAGCCATTAAAATGATGTTACAGTTTAGTACTTATTGATGTGGAAATATGTTCGGGGTAGACTATTACATTAGAAAAGTAGGTTACAGAACAATATGGAAGGCCTAATCCTATTTTTATTGAAAATGTATGTAAATGCACAGAACAAGGCTGGGAGGGATTTATACCGAGCTCTTAACGGTATCTTTTCCTCTTTTTTCCCTGACTGATGGAATCCTGTGAGATTTAAAAAAAAAAAAAAAATTTCTTTGGGGTTATCTAGATTTAGAAATTGTGGGGCAACCAATATCTATGACTCTTTAAAAAATTTGTTTTAGGCCAGACACAGTGGCGCTCACGTCTGTAATCCAAAAATGTGGGGAGGCAGATAGGGGAGGATTGCTTGAGGCCAGGAGTTTTGAGACCAACCTGAGGCAACATAGCAAGACCTTATTCTTAAAAAAAAAAAAAAAAAAAAAAATTAGCCAAGTATGGGGACACACATTTGTTGTGTGTGTCTCAGCTACTCAGAAGGCTGAGGCAGGAAGGTGACTTGAGCCAGGAGTTTAAGGTTGCAGTGAGCTCTGATTGTATGATCACTGCACACCAGTGTGGGCAACAGAGTGAGACTCTTGCGTCAGCAACATTATTATTATTTTTTTTTTCTTAGAAATGAGGCCTTACTATGTTGCCCAGGCTGGATTCGAGCTCCTGGGCTCAAGTGATTTTCCCACCTCAGCGTCACAAGTATCTGGAACCACAAGCGCATACAACATATATTGTTCATGTCTTTGAAAAACCTGGAAGATTATTTTTAGTTGCAGAGTGTCCTATATGTCTGTCTTCCCTCCCTCCCTTTCTTCCTTCCTCCTCTTCCTTCTAAGATTTGGGAGGATGCTCCAGTTTTGAACATGCTGCTGGGGCCACAGCCCTTTGCTTCACACTGTAGCTCAGGTCTGGGGAGCTCCATTCCCACCTACTCAGCCACACATTCCCCCCCACCCCTTCACCTCAGCCTCGTGTGGGCCCCTTGTCCTGGTGACCCAGGCTTCAGTGGCTGTGTCCTCTCTCCTCCCTCTCCACGTACCCCATCTCCGTGCACGTGCAGACTTTGCCCAAAATATTGTTTTATTTTAAAGAGGGGGGATGTTAGGAAGCTGAGTTGTCAGAAAACTGCAGAAACACAGGTAGCTTTAGTTCTCGGCCCCAGGTGTGTTCTGGGCTCTCTGCAGGCGGCTTCTGAGGCCAGACCTAAGGTTGCCTCTTCTTTCCTTTCCCCTCCTTTCCATTGCTCCCCACCTCACGTCGTCCCCCAGCCTTGCCACCTTACCTCACTGTAGGCCTGGCTGGAAGGAAAGAGACTCTTAAATGTGGATCCAAACCCAATGACGTTGAAGAGGCAGGCGGGCATGAGGCTCTTCAGAGCCACCAGCATGGCATCCTGGAAGGTGAGAAGGGACCATCAGGATTCAGGGAGGGGTTGCTGCCACTCTGTGCCACGCACCAGTATTCCCATTCCCAGCACAGGGACAGCCTCCAAACAGGACTTTCACCCCTCTGCCTGCACCCAGCACCCCCTTTTCCTTCACATATTGAGAAATGTGCTGTGCTGACCAGAAGCTAGACCAACACCATCCTCATAAAATTCCCATAAGCAGCAGGCGTGACTTCTCAAGGCCATTCTAGTATGGCTTGCCAGTTACGTGTCACTTCACACTGACCCTGAGACTTGGGAAAGACAGGGAGTGCCCATGCCTTCCTGCCAGAGCAAAACTGACATCTAGGGGAAGAAGGTGGCCTGGTCCAGGTCACGCTGTGGTGGGCAGAATCTGGCCCTCCTCCAGGGCCTTCTGCATCAGACTCACCCTAGTTATCATGAACAAGGGACAAGTCCCGAGGGACAGTCTCTTTAGGTCATACGTAGGATGTATTTAGTTGAGCACATAGGATGTATTTTCCATGTGACTTGACTCACTAATCTTCACAATGACCCTTTGAGACAGGTACACTATTATCCCCATTTTATAGATGAGAAAGTGGAGGCGGAGAGAGGGAAAGTGACTTGGTGAGTATCCAGCTGGTGAACAGAAGCATCAGAGTGACTCACACACATGTCACTTTGCCTCCAAAGTCTGTAATATTAAA